AGGTGGTGTTTTATTTACTAACTTTTGGCTAATATTCATATCTTTCAAACTATCTAATTTACAAAATGTTAAAATCATAGAAGTTGATCAGAACGTGAACTTTTGTAAACAAAGAATATTTTCCCATTGTGTCGGCCCTAAGTCCTAAAAAGTTTGTTTTGTGGGGTTGGGTGAATCGCCAAAGGTTCACTTATAAATGGAAACAACTCAAGAGATGAACTATACCTAACACCAAGGGCTTTATTCACCAGCATCACTCTGCGGAGGATGCTGTTGTAAGCAGATTTTCAGATCAAGCTAGTATTTCTCGCTGAACTGAGAGTCATCCTCAAATCCCTGGTTCACTCCAGGGTCAACCTGTAAATCCCTCGTTCACTAGACTTTTGTATAAAGCTACAGCTTTTGTGATTCTGATACTGGCAGATGCCAAGTTACATTCTTCCTCACTAACAAAGCTGGAGATTACAGAAATTGGATCTTAGGTGCTTTCAGATTTGAAAATGTGTCCCCAAAGATATAGGTTAACTTGACTATTGACGCTGTCTCAAGAGGTGGTCTAAACATGAATTTCCCCTGCCCCCATTTTCTAAAACATGGTACATGGTAAATAAACTCATTTCCACTGAGTAGTAACCAACTGAGAGTTGAACATTCAGTGAATTTTCAGAGGCTAAAATTTGAAAGGTAGAGACTAGCCATCCTTCTCCCATGGAGCAGCTGGTAGATTCAAACCATCTGCCTCTAGGGTGGCAGTACAACTCCTTACTCTCTAGGCCACTCGAGCTCCCTGATGCACAGAAGGTATTTTAATTCTCATTGAGAATTATGTGGTAGCATAAGAGTAATTCCAAAAGAAAACAAAGAAAATCTCATTCCAAAAGCAAACAAAGAAAATCTAGTCTGTGTACCACAAATTTAGTCAGCTTCTCCTTACATAACAGTATTGTAAAGTATTATGAGAAGGAAAATAAAGATTATAACATAATCTTATATTGAATTCACATTTCAAACTAGGTCCTCCCATCAACATTTATAACATCTGCACAAAATGTGCCTTTGCTTTTTTTGATACCATTTCCTTCATACACTTTAAGTGGAGACCATTGGTTCCATCACACATATGCCCTCTTGGGGGCAAACAGAAGGGTCTACACCCTCATAGCTCCTCTTTGCAACCTATGAACCAACCCTCTGCTTTCAAAATACACTCTTCTTCAGAGACTCGGAACTATCAACACCACCCCTCTCTGTGTTGCCTTCTACAAGCCCAACTGCTTCCAGGGAATTCTGGTGGAACTCTATAGTCCGTAGAGAATTGTGCTGCTGATCTAATGGTTGGGACTCCTGTGGTCTGGATCCACCTGTGGCTCTGTGGGAGAAAAACGGAGAATCCCTCACCCTTGGGACTTACAGCCTCAGAAACCCATTGGGGGACTAAGAGTTGGAACCAAGTCAACAGCAGTTAAGTGGATAAGTAGGTCATCGCATCAGTATTCCTCCACACGCTTCTGGAACCCAGTTCACAATAATCTTCTCATCTCAAGTCTTCGTTCATTTAAAATGCTGTTCATTTAAATATATACTAAGTCATATGTAGGGTAATGTACTTGGAGGGGACACATTAATGAACAAAATAAAATCCCTGTTTTCATGGTGATACAGTCCACTGGGATTGCACTGCTGATCCAAAGGCTGCATCCCTCCAGTGGCAATCTTCTCTTGTGCCAAACACAGCTTCCAAAAATCCAGCAGGCAGTCAGCAATGAGCACATTCCAATAGAGCAGCTATGAGGGGTGTCTGTTGTTTTGTTTATATTCCAGTTCCAACGTGTAGAGAAAGAGGATGTACTGTTCCAGCTGTTTTTGAATGATATTCAGCAGTATTTTGATTGCATGTGATATTAATGTTATTATTCTAGAATTTCCAAATTCTGTTGGATCACCTTTCTTGGGATTGGGAACAAATAACAATCTCTTCCCATCACCTGGCCAGACAGCCAGCTGTCCTCCAAATTTCCTGGCATAGACTGGTAAGCAGATCCAGAGCTGTATTTGTCATTTGAAACATATCAGTTGATATCCAATCAATTCCTGGGGCCTTATTTCTTGCCAGTACCTTCAGAGCAGCTTGAACTTAGTCCTTCATTACCATTGGCTCGTGATCATATGATATTTCCTGAAATATGTGCCATTCAAGTCTTTTTTGTTACAGTGATTCTGTGCATTTCTTCCATCGTAGTTTGATGTTTCCTGGATTATTCAAGATTTTGCCCATTGCATCTCTAAGTATTGCAACTCTTAGAGATGCTATGGGCAAAACAGCATCTATTTTAATAAATAATATATAAACCTTACAATATTGTTGAGAAGATAATTGCACAGAAAGAGAAATAATATAAAAATGTCAAATATTAACAAAAAGTTCTTGAAAAGCTCAGAGAAGGAAAAGTGCAGTATGGGCCTACATGACCAGTGAAAGAGTTGGATGAGACGGGGAAGCATGGAGTCAGCATGAGACGGGGAGGCGTGGAGTCAAGATGAAACAGGGAGGCATGGAGTCAAGATGAGACAGAGAGGAATGGAGACAAGATAAGAAGGGGAGGCGTGGAGTCAAGATGAGGTGGGGAATCGTGGAGTCAAGATGAGACGGGGAGGTGTGGAGTCAAGAAGAAGGTGGTGATTTCCATATAGACAAGGTCAGAGACAGAGGTGAGTCAATTTGAGAAGATAAACCTGTACAGTTTGAGAGAAGAATGAGACAGGAGGTTAGATCAGATCATGTAAGTAATAGGATACCAAAGAAAGAAAAGTATTTCCTTAAAGAAGTAATGAAAGTTGCCTTATGCATGTCACTAGAAGAGAATTAGTGGGGGATTTTGAGCATGGCTCTACCATGCTGAAAAAATTTGATGCGGTAACAACACAAGGGAGGTGGTATTAAGAGTGAAGGAAAAGGATGAGTGAAGGTGCTATTATAAGCAGAGGATTTGTTTACCTACTGAATATGGCAGAAGCAGAAAAAAAAAAGAATGCCTTTGACTCTGGGTCCCTGAGAAAAAAAATATTATGATAACAAATTGGTTACAAATACTGATTAGAGGTGACAGTGGTCTAGCTAAATAGAAATGTACAGTTAATTAATTAGTGACTTGGGACTAGAATTTAAGAAAGACAGGGAAATAACAAGCATTTAGGAACCTTTTTATTTTTCAGTCTAGTGCTAGCTGCTTTACTTGGCGATCAATCTTGGGAAAAAGATTGGACTGGAGTTAGCTATTTGGCACCATCCACACAGATGTCAGAGCCAAAACAGGAGAAGATATGGGATTGAATCAAGACCAATTTATCATACTCTCTCCGTGTCCTTTCACTACTGAGCCAGTTAAATCCACACCCAAAAGTGAATGCATCTGAAAACCACTCTACATCACATCACTTTGTGGCTGAAAGTTTTGGATTTTCCCAAGTTATTAATATTTTTTGCAAGTACATGAAGTAGATGAGAAAAAAAGGAATTATAATAGTCCTTTTTTATTCTTTTCCCTTGGGGAAAATGAACAAAGACAAAAACAAGAAGTAGGCAGGAACCAGAGGATAAAAAATTTTGAAGAGTTTCCACTTGCTGAGATAAAACAGAAGATAAAAAGGAACTCTCCACAAAAGCCAACCAACCAATTTGAATATGTGTTTTACTTTTCTAGAATTCATCATCAGTTACAGACGTGGTATTTTCACTCTGATCATAAAACTTCCCTTGCAGGACCCACACAGTACTTCCAGACTTCTCCTGTGGCCAAGAGAGTCTCAGCTCTCACCTGTAGTCTTGCACACTTATCCTGAAGTTTAAGATCAAAAACACTGCCTGCATGTGTTTCTACAAGCAGTCACTAGTCTCCATTTGGGACACTCAAGTTGGGTTAGGTCCTTCCTTTCTTTCCACAGCTCCCAGGAAGGCCATGCTGCTTAAAATGTCTCTCAGTTGAAATACCCAAGAAAAGTATGAACAAAGAAGCCATGGTAACAAATGACAGAGAAGCAGGCAAGGGGTGAAATGAATTTTCAACCCTAGAGAGTAATGGGTATACAATGATTATTTTATATTGTCTCCTTTCAGGGTACTTCTACTTTCTTTGACTTTACCAATGTGATGCAATAAATAGTTCAAGTACATGAAAAGCTTCCAAAAAGGAAAGTTTCTAAACACATGCTTATTATGAATTTCCAGTTACACAGCATAACTCCTGTCATAAGACAATTTTATACTGGAAATTATCTTACTTGGACATATGCTGGCCAAAACAACCACCTGTTTTGACGATAAAGAGCACTTCTACAATTAATTCCCATGCAATTTTGACAATAGAAGAGACACTAACATGGTAATAAATTAATCTGAATGCAAAAATAACCTACAGAAATGGCTCAAATGGGACAGTGGATGGTTTCTATGATAGTTAAGCCACAGCAGTAAACTCTATCTAGTGACTTTAATCGCTGTCTGGGTTCTCATCGTTCTCAATTCCTGCATGTTGCCTTTTTTGTTGTTGTTATAGCCTGAGTCTGTTGTTTTGTTTTTTTTTGTTTGTTTGTTTTTCCACAGGTTCCTTGAAAATGGCAGTTAGCACTTGGCAGTCCTGTGAGAGACTTGTAGTAAGGTGTCCTTTGCTGGTTCTCAGGTTCCTTTCCACCTTACAAATGAAGAGAGAGTGCCTTACATTGCAGTTCCTGATGCTGGCTCTCCTGTCCAGGTATAGATGGTGAAAGGAATACTGCAGGACATCACCTGGCTATCCCAGCCTCTTTCTGTGGTATCCATTCTAACCAAAGAGTCCAAAGTAACAGAAAAACTGGAGGAAGAGAAATCTATAGCAGCAAATTCACTTTCCTGTGGAATAAAAGACTTTACAACACTATTTCAGAATGAAGTAGCAAATCCCATCATATTCTATTAGTACTATCCTTATAAAAAGTATAAAAATACACGTTAGACCTTTCCTTACCTGCCTACTGTCCCTCTGGGAGGATGTGGAGGAAGAGGCACTTCTATGAGATGGAGTGGATGTTTTATGAGCAGGGGATATGCCCTTCTCGTCTGAACTCATAGCTGCAGTTAGTCTAGTGACCTGCACAGAAGACCATCCCAATATTGTCTTGAACCCACAGGTAAGGAAAAGGATGACTCCTCAGCTTCATTCCATTTCATCAATCAGGCTTGACTAGAAAAGATGAGGTCAATACAGAGGGTGTTCAAATCACCTAAAAACAAAACAAAAGAGAACAAGTAAGTAATTATAAAAGAAATTAAAAGATCATTAAACTTGGGGGAAAATATTAATTGGTGGCAGTGAGAGTAACATGAGGAAATGTTTGCTTCCTCTAGAATAGTAAGGTGGAGGGGAAAAGTATTAATTGTAATAAGAATCTGTCAATGAGGAAAAGGAAAGAAACTAAAAACTAAATCATATTCTTCCCTTGCCTACTATTTTTGAAAGCAGATTACAGTGCTTTGTTTAAGACCCTACCATTTAAGAACATCAGCTTCTTCACCTGCCTGAAGGATTTTATGAGAGTTCAATATGTGCTTGTGTTCAGTTTAGTTCAGCCATGCCATGTACATGATGGCTAAATACTGCATAAGGTAGTTAGTCACAGAAGGGGTAGTGCACTGTGTTAGTGCATTCTGTATATCATGTGATTCAATACTGTGTGAGGATCAAGGATGACACCAGCAAAGTTATCTGCTCCTCCAGACTACAGTATGCCTGCCTAAGACCTTCAGCTCAACAACCAGCTGGCTCATAAGTATATAGATTGTCAGGTTCTTTCTGGAACTAGAGTAATTAAAGTGGCTTCACAGAATCACAGTCAAGAGCCACTCCACTTCTTACTTGGATTTATGTTAGGAAAGTTTGCATTAACAATGCTAAAGTTAACAGCTTCTTGTTCCCCTTTGAGTGCAAGATAAGTAAGCTACAAGAGTTAAAGAACAGATTCAGAAAATATCTAGGAAAAAAGGCCCATCATGATGGTATAAGGTAAAACATTTAAACATTAACATACAAATCTACGACTGAAAAGATATCTATGTTCACGTTCTTATTTTAGTGACATTCACTGAAGTAGAACCTTTAGCACAAACTGGGAGAGAAAGAGAATGGAAGAATAAAAATCAACCTTCAGGCCCCAAACAGTGAGACTCGAAGTTCAGTCTAAAAGGGAGACAGTAACACAAAGATGAAGATGCACATAGTAGTGTCACGACATGTGCCAAGTAGAAATGACCATATCTGAAGGTTCGAGGTTTCTCTTATTAGGTGGGTTTAAGCTGAGATCTGAAGGCTGACTAAGAGTTAACTAGGGGCCTGGGTGTCCAGGGTCTAATGATCAAAGAATTAATAGAGGTTAGTGTACTGGAAGCAGGAGTGGCATCCACTTCCTAAACAACAGGCCTCTGGAAACTCTATGAACTTTGATAAATGTCGATAGTTATATAAAGGCTTCAGGCCTTTTGTTGATAGAGTCACTATGAGTCATGCTTGACTCAACGGCAATCAACAACATATTAGAACATACACCGGAAGTGACATGAAAGTCAAAGAATGGCAGGGGATCAGACCCTGTAGGACTTCCTAGACACATTCAGCATTTTTATTTTTATTCTAGGAGCACAAGAAGCCATAAAGGGATATAGAATAACTGTTGTTAGACACTGTCAAGTTTGGTATGACTCACAGTGACATTATGAACAACAGCCACAAGTAAAACCAAATTCACTTGGTAAAGAGAATGAGGGAGGGAGCACCATCAGGAAGGAAGATATGATGTATTGCAGTGGTGGACAGAGATCTAATATAGAATCTCATATGTTGGGAGGGTCACGGAAAAAGGATCAGTCATGAATGACTCCCAGGATGGCAATACGGTTCACAGGGGAAGAGCTGGCCAACATTCATCCAAGACTGAAGTCCGGAGTGTGGCTTTGGACATGCTGAGTTTGAGGTACCACTGAAGGCTTTGCAATTGAGATAGACCAGAGGGAATGTGGGTATGGGGTTCGAAAGAGAGTTAGAAATAGAATTGGAATTGGAAGTCTGAAATTGGAGTGTTCGATAGATTATGGAGGAGCTCTGGTGGCTCAGTGGTAAGGAACTGTGCTGTCAATCCAAAGCCATATGGTTCAAATCCACTAGCTGCTCCAAGAGAGAAAAATGGGTAATCTTTTCCTGTGTAATCAACTGTCTATAAAAACCCACTGGAAGGTCAGCTGTGAGAAGGTCCCAATTCGATGATACAAAGCAACAACAGATCATGTTAATACACATAGTGATTTGGATAGGACTACTGAGTCAATTCCAACTTAGAGCAACCTGGCAGGACAGAATAGAACAGATTACAGGGGTTCTGAGACTGTGACTTGTTATGGGAGTAGACTACCTCAAGCTTTAGACTAGCAGTCCAATGTTTAACCCATTGTGCCACCAGCAGTCCTTTGACTTATATGTAATAACAAACAATTCATTGCTGTCGAGTTGGAATCAACTCAAAGCTGATCCTCCAGCAAGTTCTCAGAGGCTGTAAACTGCACAGGAGACCGTTCATTTCTCTCAGAGCATCTGCTGGATTCAAACCTCCAGAGGGCATGGACTTGGGATTAGCAGCTCCATACAGACTAGACCACCTGAGCTCTCCAAATTTACTATTACCATGAGAAAAAAAAGATTTCTCTTTTAAAAAGAAGTAAAACAAACAAGCAAACAATCTAGGAGCAGTTCTCTTGAAACAAAGCTAGTCTTTGGATAAACAGAGATGCAAAAAGCCAATGTGTTCTTTGTTGGCCAGAAATGAAGTTTCATTTACTATTGGCGAGAAGTAGCAACAAGCTGACACTTGAGAAATAATCACCTAATCCTCTTTTGTTTTATGAAGATGACTTAATAATTGAGTAAAGTTTCCAAAGTCAAGGTTTGATGCCAGCAAACTGAAAGAATGCAGTTCTGATCTTTGATTTGAAGCACTCTGTTTTCTAATCCAAGGTGTTTTACAAGCAGATGCTGACACTTGAGCCACAAGTACGGTGATTTGATGATGTTTTCAAGTACCCCCAAGGGAGAAGGTTGAGACAAGCGAGCTCATTAAGCTGGTGTCCATTTGGAAGAAAATTCAATCCAAGCTACCAGGGCCCACATTTCCTCAGATTTCTTTTTCCTTTTTAAACAGCATCCAAGTGTACTTTCTTCATTAACACCTTGGAGTTTGTCTTAATTTAAAACGACATTTACAGGGTAACATTTCAACAGTGCAAGGACAACATTTCAATGGAATTAAAATTATGCATTCATCGAATATAAGAATGAGTCAGAGAATATGTTTTGGAGGTGGTTCTTTCTATTAACGTTTGGTCTTTGTGTATTAAAAAGAAAGGCGCCCAAATACCTATTATGCGGATGAATTTGATGACCTTTAAAGATTATTCTAAGCCTGACTAAGATCCTAAACCTGAAACGATTGTATTTTAGAATACAGTATAAAAACTGAGAGAGTCTAAACTCCATTAAGTAGACTGCATTTGTTAATTTTTTCATTGCTCTGACATAAAGGTTACTTCATGTTCATGGAAACATTTTCGGAAATTGTCTAAATAGTATTTTTAAATCAAAGGACAATAGATTGTAAAGTAAACACCAACACAATTACTATACTTAGTAAAATTGGTACTGTGACTATAAATAAAAACAATATGACAGCTGAAGGTGGAATGTTCCCATCTTACTCCTCCTTCAGAACAGTGAGATCCCTATTATTGAATGCTACAATACTTTTATTTACACTGCATGACACAAAATTCTGATTTATGATCAAGGAATCTAACAAAAGCAAGCAGTGGTGGCCAAGTTACCAAAAGTAACTTGCTGTTCACAGGCACTATAAAGTATACATGTTCAGAAAAGATACTGGAAATTGGAGATTACTCAATCTTGACCCTCGTTAGCTTAAGAACAACAAAGAAGGAGGGAACCAAACAAACGAAATGCTCATTGCTCTCAGGTCAGTTCACAGAGCCGCACAGAGACCCTCCCTCAGGTTTCCAAGGCTGTACATCTTTATGACAGGATACAGCTCGTCTTTCTCCTTTGAAACAGCTTGTAGTTTGAAAGTGCCAACCTTTTAGTTAGCAGCTTGAAAAATTACACACTACACCAGAGCTCCTTACAACAAAAGAAGAGACTGTTTCATTCATTATTTAAATATCAGAACCGAGAACAGTCTTTATTATAGTAGGTATTTAATGATAGACCTGAAGCGCTTGCTGCAGAAGACCAAGGACTACAACCTTCAATATGGGTTGACGCTAGATATAAAAAACAACAAAGATTCTCACCTGGGCCAACTGGCAACATTGTGATGGACGGTAAAGAGATTATGATTGCACACAGCTTTAGTTTGCTTGGTTCCACAATCAACACTCTTGGCACCAGTAGCTATGAAATGAAAAGACATATTGCGTTGGGAAAGTGTGCTGTCAAAGACCTCTCCAAAGTACTGAAGAACAATGATGTCACTCTGGAGACTGAGGTGAGCCTGATACAGGCCATAGTCTTTGCAATCACTTGTTATGCATCAGAGCTGGACAATTACTAGGGATGATAGAAGCAGAATTGATGCCTTTGAACTGTGGTGTTGGAAGAGAATAAACAGGTTCATCATGGAGAGGGTGAAATTGTGCTGCTCCTCGGAGGCAAGGATTCTGAAGCTACCTCTGACATACTTCGGATATGTTGTAAGGAGGGACTGGTCCTTGAAGAGAGATGTCATGCTTGGGAGGGTAGAGGGACAGCACAGGAGAGGAAGACCTTTGATGAGATGGACTGATTCAGTCACGGTGGTAATGGGGGTTGGTGAGTCAGAGACAATAAGATTGGCACAGGATAGAGGCACAGGATAGAGCAGGTTTTAGGGGTGTTGTACATAGGGTTGCTATGATTCACAGGTAACTCAATGGCACATAACAACAACAACGTTTAATGATGATCAAATGAATGAATTGATAAATAAGTTTATACACCAATTCCATACACAATACATCATTGTTATATTAAGGTGCTGTAGAACAATACAGCTGAAACCTGTCCGATCTCTCTCACGCCATCCTCATCATCTCTGACATGCCAGAGGCCACTGCTGCAATGACTTGTTGAGGTTCTTCTTTTCTTTTGCTGACCCTCCACTTTTCCAAGGAATAGTTCTTCCAGTAACTTGC